TTTAATTTTTCACGTCAATAAAATTCTATACTAATTCTCACAAACTTGGAGGTAAATGAGAGAACTATCGCCCTCGGAAAAAGGATATAAACATAAATGTTTTCCATCCTTGGCTAATATCAAAATGTGGATATGATCTTCTGTGATTATTTTTTTCTGTAGTAAATTGAGGAAGACTTGGAGAATAAGCGGCTTATCCATCTTTTAAACATATATCACTTTATTTCTATTAAGATACACTACAACTCGCTAAGCTAAGCTAAACGCTTTCATCATCTTACTCTGGTTTTCATAATACGGTTGGACCAGTAAATTCAACCTACTTCCCTCTGTTCAAGTCTCGGTTTTGGAATATTAAAACCCTGTCCCGTAACCTGGGTTGTTCCATTCTCATGATTCGTGAAAGTTCAAAAAAAATTATTATTAGTGATATATTTCATAATTTTTTTTTCTATTTAGTGTTTTTACATTAAAAGAATGTTGTTTTTATTATTTTTTCTCTTTTCTAGTTAGTATATTTCATTGTTTTGTATATTATTTAAATAAGGAATTATTTTCACTTGTTGTTTGTGTCATTTTTTCAACAACTAATATCAAAGCTTTAGTTAGGAACTTTGTATTGTGTTTTAAAGATGGAAGGTAGTGATGATTTTGAAAGTATTATTAAATTGGATTTTATCAATTATTTATAATGGAAATTTTATATAAAAGATTTTTTATTTTGTAAAGATTTGTGTGATTCTATCAAGAAATAATGTTTTAAATCAATATAAATTTGAGAGATATTGGAAGAAGAGATAAATAGAAAGATTATTGACATGATATAATAATGCATAGATAATTTTGTTTTGTCATCATGTATTATGTGAGATTCTAACTTATAAGAAAGAGATTAAAGGAGTTGTTTTAGTCTAAAACTTAGTTGGATAAAATATTCTTTATTAGGAAGCTAGTAAACTTAAAATGCAACGATGATTCTTTAGTGATTCAACACTTCAGTAGTTTCCAAAATCTGGTAAATCAGTTGATCATTATGAAGATTGTGTTACATGATGAGCTACTAGTATTGTTATTACTAGTATTATTAGACAATTAAGAGATTTTAGTAGTATCTATAAGCAATTCTACTTCTAATGGAGAACTAACTTTTAACATGGTCAATGACAATCTTAAAGGAAGAAAAGAGAAAGAAACATGTTTAGAGATTATCATAGGTGTAATGATCGTAACAAGTCAAGATCAAACAAAAACGTCATGTATTTCTACTGTAATAATTTGAGACACGCTATTAAAGAGTAAAGGATTTTTAAGAAAAACAAAATTAATAGAAGAAATAATAACAATAAAAGATATTATACAATTGCATCACTATTGCAATTGTATTTGATGGTGAAGTTGTTATTGTTTGTCTCTGCTTGGAAACTAATATTGGTTGTTAGCTCTATTTGAAAAATGTTGGACAAATTCTTACACATGAGCTAATTCTCTTTTTTTTCTCTCCCTTCCTTTTTTATTTTTTCTTTTCTCTTTCCGTTCTCTTTTTTTGCTTTCTTTTGCCTTATCTTCTCCATTTCTTCCTTTCCTCCTCCTTTTAAGTCCTTGCATAACTTCAATATTTATTATTGTAATCTTTTTTTTTACTTTTCTTTTTTAACTGTCATGACATACAATTACATTAAAAATTTTGAGGGATTACAATTATCTTATTAATTATTTTCACACTTATTTTGTAAGACCATATATCTTGAATTTAGTTCATATTTATATTTATACTATGCTAAATCAATTAGTTGTTGCTTTTATTTTATCACTTTTATTTATGACAATTTTAGAAAAGCTTGGGTTTTTGTTTAAAATACAAAGACGAAGTACTTAATGTGTTTAAACATTTACATGAAAGCATTAAAAGAGAAATAAATAGATTATTAAAATGTGTTACACTAGATAACAACGACAAACAAATGAGTGTTTTTGAGCATTATTGCAAGGAGCATGACATCGTGTTTGGGAAAAAAGTTTCAAATACAAATAAACACAATAAGATTGTAGAGGAAATGAACCAAACTATTAACGATAGAATTATACGCATGTCACCCGTGCAAAATTACTTGGGATTAAAAATCAAATGTTGAGCTAAGTTAGTATGACCAAAGGTCGAGACCAATTGACTTGAGCTAGAGGTCGAAATAAGTTGACATTGGCTGAAATTTAAGCTAACAGTTGAGACAAGTCAGTTAAAGTTTGAGACAATTTGGCAATAGCCAAAGGTCAAATCAAGTAAGTCCACGAAGGTCAGGTTGAGTAGGTTTGGACCAAAAGTAAAGCCAAGTTTATTCATGTCAAACTTAATTGACTAAATGATTTGAGTCGAAAGTAAAGCCAAGTTTATTCAGGTCAAACTCAATTGACCAAATTGAAGGTTCTAATTGAGTTTATTTAGGTAGAATGTCAAACTCAGGCGGCCAAATAGAAGGTTGAGACAAGTCGCTCCAGACTATAAATAGAGACTAGTCAATTTTGACCGAAGGACAAATCAAGTCGGTCTAGACTCATAGTTAAGTCGAGTTGATTTGAACTAGACGTTGAAATTTTTCAGTTCAAGTTGAAGGTCGATGTGAATCGACTTTTTGGACCTGTGAATTTTTATCACTCTAACTAATAAAGAATTCCACAACTTGTAGAATTTAAATTTCCTTTTTTAAATGAATCTCAAATTCTATTATTTTATTTATTTGAAATACATTCTTAAATTCTTAATTTTTTTTTTAATTTCTTCGTCCAAACACATTATTTTAGTTTAAAAAATTTTAACCTTTCTAAATAAATAAATTATTTTCATAAATTACATCATCCAAATACAACATTAAGATTTTGAATTCAAGATAATATTAATGTTACATAGGTTAAAATTGTTTAGTCTTTGTAACGAATCATTCTCAAAATACATCATGATATCACTTTAGAATGTCTCTTCTAATTAATCACTTGTAAAAAACTTCTCAAAGATACATTTATATGGTTATCAAGAATATGACTAAAACTCTTTCATTCTAAACAAATTGTTACGAGGATTAATTCGCTCAGGAGTTTAGGCAGTATAAATGAGATCTTAGATTTAGTTTCATCACTGTTATAATAACAAAACAATTAGACGAATTGTTATGTACGGCGAGTACTGGTTTTGTGTAATATTTCTAACTAGAAATGAGAAAGAAAAAAAACAAATCAAATAGAACAAGTAAAAAAATCCACACCGATGCATATGGCTGGGAAACTTTGGAGTGTTTTAAAAGAACATTATAAGTGAAACAAGTGAATAAAACATGTGTGTGCTTCGAGTGTTGGCTGTTGGTGTGAAACTATGTATGATGGCCACCACTTATATACACTTCAAACTTTGAAGTGAGTGGATGTTATGACGGAGTTCTGGTGTATAATAAGTGTCTCTAACTACTCTCACGCTTGTCCTTGCTTATGTGCAAAAAGTAAATCCTGAAACTACAACGTGGGTTGCGATTTTGAAGGATCGGAAATGAATGTGTTGTCTAGTAAGTTGTGCAAACTTGCAATAATCATGCCAAACATAATTAAGTGCGAAGATAACAGTAGTAGCTTGTACTCATTCAAAGAAATGCTCACATCCTTAAATTCCCCCACACTTAAAAACAACAAAAACAGATAAGATTACGAAAACATATCATTTATGAGTCTCTTAAGAATTTTATTTTATTTTAATTAGATTTTGATATATTTATTACGTTTTAATGAATTTTTCTTATGGGATTTAGATTTAAAATTTAAGATTGTAATTAAAGTAAGCTTCTAAAAATACTAAAATAAAACACGGGCATTGCGATAACATTTGCAAATATAACACTTTATAAAATAATAAATATGGAAAGAATAAAAAAGAGTTGTCATTTTGAAAATGGGATATGATAATCTGGTAGTGATATTTGTGCTCTGTTGTAAGACATTAAAAAGAGGAAGAAACCGTATGATCAAACATTGTACCACCTCCATCATAGGTTGTTGTTTGTTTGTTGTATGAGGACCAGCATGGCAAACCGTAGGTCAGATAGCCCAAACCTAATAAATTTGTGAAGAGGTTGGGATGCGTAGTTTTGTTGGCTCTTTACTGCCCCTACATAGCCTAGATCAAAAAATTATCTCAGGTGACTTTCTTCTCTTAAGTCCTCCTTAATAAACAGATCTCTAGTACTAAACTCGGCAGTTGTTCCTCAAATCCACACCCCTCTATTCTCCTCTTCCCCTTCTCAGCTTCTCCCTCTTGTCATCATTCCTACTGTTGCTAATAGTCCCACGGAACATGCTACTCATCACTCTCCATTTCTTATTAGCATTATATTTTCTGTATCTTTATTTTTAGTATTTTATATTTTTGCTGTTTTATAAGACTCACTCACTCTCTCTCTCTCTCTCTCTCTCTCTCTCTCTCCGTAGACTAGTTTTTCTAACGTTTGTACGAAATTGTGGGATCCATTTGAACTTTTTGTGCACATTCTATTTAATCTGCTATCCATTCACCCAGGCTCCACTTATTTGATAAGGAAGTTCAAGTTATTTTTACCATTTATATAGATATCTTTACTCAATATGTTCTCATTTCCTATCATACGTTATCACTTTTGTGCTTGTTAGTCTGGATGGTTCTCGATGACTCACCTCATAAGTTTCAGATAAGTGCTTAAAAAGAGTGTTTATCCATGCCCGAAGAAACCGCCCACATAGAAGAAGCCAAATTTTACACAAATAAGATTTTAGTGATAGTTTAATATTTTTTGGAAAGGCAAACCAGTCACTTATATACGGAGATAAGTAATGATTTAGATCTGTTCCTACTATTTTCGACATCTGTTGAAATGAGTATGTATAAATCGTTGTACGATCATATTGGACCTTAGTTAAAATGTTTTAGGTAAATGGTGTAAGGATTAAAAGCACGATCACGAGGGAAACTATGTTTTAATTTGCCTTCATCAATGTTTTAATTACGTTATAAGCACGAGTGCATAAAACATTCATTCTCTTGGACATCACAAGACTCAGAACAGCTCCCAAAGAATCTAGAATTGCATTTTGAAGCTAGAGATTGCAATCCTCCACGAGATTACAGTTTCTTTCAAATAATGAAACATCGCATGAAACTAAACAACAGGTCACCGGAAACAAACTATCATCACTATGCATATAGCAGTTTCCTCTTCGATTGTGAAAACAGTCAGATCACTAGCTTCAAAAGGAAACGATCATACTTACACGCTTTCCTTCTCCCCTTTTGTATGAGCTAGCACCTGCATAGAAAGTCATGTTAATAACTGTTTCGAGAGAAGCTAAAAGCTTAATATAGTGTAAGACTTAACCTCAGATACATGCATGAACTTATCTTGATGGGTTTTCAACTTATTCAGTATGTTGAATGAAGGTTTTAACTGATTGCATTCAATTAACCAAGGTCTATAAAGAAGAGTGGCTCTGACTATTAAGTAAACACTGATTATACCCTGACAAAAAATTGCACAATACAAAACAGTCATAATAAACAATGATAAAAATTTGTATGTAAAACCACCTACTTCTCCGCAGCTGCTTGAGTGCAGTTGTTAGAACGGTGAGAAAAGACACTGGGTTCCAGATCATATCTGCAAATCTCAGAACAATTGAACTTGGGCATAGATAAAACAAAATCCTTCTGCTGTGGTGCATAAGAAGAACCAAACTTTTTATGAAGCCAGCGGGTTCTAGGAAAACAGTCGGACTGATTATCTAAATCAGGGGTTGATGAAGCTATGTGTTCATAATTGCATCCCTCTTCCGTGCAAGAATCAACTCTCGAACAAGAAATTCTTGGAGTCTCTTGATCTGGCCTATTCAAAAGCATTTTCCCTGAGCTTAGCAAATTTCCTTCGCTACTTCTCAAAGCTGTTATAACCTGCATTCCAATTCCATTGCCGGCCTCGACTGGTGGCACCCGGGGTTCATAATCAGAGGAACAGGTTTGCGTTTGAACATTCATCGTGGGCTTTTGAGAGGTGTATTCAGCATAGTCTGATTCACTTCCTTGTTCATTAGATGATAAAGATTTCCAACGAATTCTGCGGGAACAACCGAAGAAATTGATGGATGACCTCTTCAATTTAGCATAAATAGAATCTGAGGCACATGACGGAACATAATTGATTCTGAGCTCAAGGTTACAGCCCAATACGAACTGCAGAGAACTTGCAATCAACTTCCATGACTTCTCAGCCCTACTTACATAGTCTCGATGCTGGAACTCCAGCTCCGCAACTGCACGGCCTGAAAATTGGAATTCATTGGATTACTTCGTACATACTAAGAACTTTGAGAAGAAACATTTCACAAGTATAAAAGTATAATTTTTCTTCCCTAAAAGCAAAAGCTAGGTCAAAATATATGTAAAACCATTGCGTACTGCTATTGATAGTTAAAAGGAAGTTGAATTTTGTACAATTTGAGACCATATTAAGAAGAAGACTTTAAACTTAATTCAATCTTTTTAAAAACTTAATATAATGAGGTTTGAACCTATTGATAAATTTGAATTATTTCTAGTCAATGTCAGATCTTCAGCATAATATGCTAATAAAACTATGTTTGATGTAAATAATTTCCCTACTGTCCTTCGAAAGAAATCAGTTTTGACAATAATACTAGGAAAAACTCTTAACAACAATCATTAACAAAAAGGAGAATGTTGGCAACACATTCTTCTATACATTCTTCCCAACATTATTATGGTGAGAAATTTACTGATCCCACTAGACCCCTTTGAAAGTTTATAAACAACTTGTTTGGACTCTTATCATAGGACATGAACACCTGTGTACATGTTTGGTAGAACTTACGAAAATAACTTATGATATGTCTATAAGTTATTTTCAACTTATTTCAACAACTCTCGAAGATAGTTTATGAAAACCAGCTTATAGCTTACGTAAAACAATTTAACTTATTTCCCGTTTCACTATAGAAACGACTTACTCATAAATAACTATATAGTAGATAATTATTCAATTAGACCTGAATCAAGTTGCTTACCTAAACAGACCATAAACAACTTACCCCAATTTCAACAGGGATTTCACCCTATAATAAACAACTTTGAAAATAAAGTTTCAAATAACATGTTGCAAGCAGTTCTGTTGATAAAAAGAAGCACAAGAAGAATACTAAGCATATCTGTGGGAAAGTATTAGAGTACATATTATGCCAGTAAGTTAGAAGAAAACAAATTTAGTCTCTGGTAAAAGAAAAGACACTGTAAATGAAATACAATATGTACCTTGACTAATACAAACTGAAGACAACTTCCCTTGTTTCCTGAGAAAAGTTCTGAGCCTGCTAGATTGACACATCTCAGTAGCTTTATACCATATAGAATCCAACGTTCCTTTGTGATCCTCCTGCACTGCTAACCTATATGACTTATCATCACATTGATCTGTTGTGGTAAGATGCTCCAAGCTGTCACCTTTAGGAGATGTACTGCAGATATCACCATCTGCATCCATTATGGACAAGTTTAGAATGGTTCAACCAGATCAAAAACCACTCCAACTCTGCCTGCTCCATCCCAGATACTCGCTAAGGAAGATGGGAATAAAAAACCATAATTTGAGAAAAGAAAGTCAAGCCCACCTCTAACGGAAGCAGGTCGTGTACACAACTTCGTAGTATTTGCATTAGCCGATGAATATTCAACGGAGCTCAGCTGCAGAAGAGCTGCAGTGAACCATGTTGTTTGATTCTTGGAAATTCTCAACTGCTTCTCTGATTCAGACAGTATTCTTAATGCATGACTTAGTTTCTGCAGGTCTGCTTCCGCTGTGATAGAGCAACAGAAATAAGATAAAAGCAGTATCGGTTTGCATGGGGAAAAACACAAATATGGCCTTCAAAAACAAAGAAGCGCCAATATGCTCAAAGCAAAAAAGGATATAATACATTTTAAAACACTTACATGTATATCTATTATAAAATCCTGTTTTTATTTCAGAGCCACGAAGTTCACATTTCCCTGACAGAATGTCCATAATAAGATTTGCCAACTGTGATATAAGTTGTAAAGGATCTATCCTTGTTCTGACAAGTTCCCGGGCTCGTATAACTGTATTTGAAGTGTCAGAGGATAAAGCTAGGTCCAACAAATCAAGCAATTCATCATCAGAAATGATCCCAGTCTGCAGAACAAGATGGGTAAGACATAATGCTCAGAAAGAGAAAATGAAGACAATTGCAATGGCATACACGCAGGAACAAAGCAAAACACTCACTAGCTCGTGGACTAAGGATACTGTGATCTTTTTACCAAGCAAACTCAGTTGATCAAGCATAGTTTCTGCATCCCTAAGAGAACCACAGGATCTAGCAGCAATGAAGTCCAAAGCAACTTGTTCAGATTCAAGACCTTCTTCGACACATATTGTTTCTAATCTTCTTACGATGTCAACATCTTTAATCTTTGCAAAGTGATACCTCTGAGCCCGTGATGCTGCACTCCGAGGAACGTTATCCAAATCAGGAGTGATCATCACAAAAACCACATGAGGAGAAACATTCTCTAGACTATTCAAAAGGCACGCCCATGTTTCCCTATGCAATAACTGGCACTCATCAACAATGAACACTTTAAAGCTTGAAGAAACTGGAGGAACGCATGCATGCTTAACAAGGGATTTAACTTTCTCTGCACGATTGATTCTCAAAGAATCTACTTCACTAACATTCTTATTTCTTCCAGAGAAGAACAAAACGCATTCTCTACACAGACCACAAGGCTTTTGCTCCACAGATGATAGGCAATTCAGTGCAGCAGCAAATATCCTAGAGGCTGAGGTCTTGCCCGTGCCGCGTGGACCATGGAAGAGATAAAATGATGCTATCCTTCCTCTATAGATAGCACCCAAAAGAGACTTACCTATCACATTTTGTCCAACCAAATCATCAAAAGATTTTGGCCTGAATTTCACAGATAAACTTCTAGGAGTTTCCATATTTGGACTAATTTCACCACCAATGTGTCCAATGTTTCTACGTCCATTGAGATCCGTTTCATTAGCGTGCTGCAATATCAAGGGAAGACCTTCTATTTCGGAATAATGATTTGATTCTCTAAACCTTGGTGACTTTGACCAACAACTCCTTAATCCACATCCATGGCGATTATCTAAAGCGTCAACATCTTGAGTGACAAGTTCCAAGCTACGACGAGCTGAGATAGAATCATAAACAGAAAGGCACTGTTGACTTCCTACATGGCTTGCTATATCACCCACCACTCCAGATGGTTTCATTTGATTCTTGCGTAGTGATTTTCTAGCTGACTTTGAGTGATCTACTCTCAATGCAGTTGATAAATAGCATAACTCACCATCCCTCAAATGATTACATGGAGGCGTAATGGCAACCAAATCCAATCTTTCACCTTCATGGTTACTACAACTGCTTTCATTTGGCGATTTATCTCCAGAAATACCTTGCTGCTTAGGATTAGAGTACACATGTTCATCATCTCGTTGCCCTTCCTGACGAGAGATCCCACAATAGTTCATCTTATAGTTCAACATTTTCAATTCTAACTCAGCAGTTTCCTGCTCTCTCAGATCCTTAAAGTCTAAACTGTTTGATCTTGAAAAGCCATTACCGTCGCAATGACCAGCATGAGAACCGTTGAGAAATCTCAAACTCAGAGAAACCCCATTACTAGAACCATTGTCCCAATCTCCATCATGAATCAAAGGAGAGAGTTTGCTGACACCATGAGTTGATGGATCCCTCAATGACCTTACTCTCCTCAGTGCCACAAGAGTTTTAGAAATAGGAATATCAACAGAATGTCTCCTACCATCCATCACTGCCTAACTCTTGCATAAGCAGAACCCCCATGAAACAGCGCTAACCAACCTAGAAAAGAAATAAAAGCCATAAAAATAGCCATATAAAAACGCAGTTGGCACAGAAAAAGAGGAAACAAGGATGAAATGAAATAAATAAGCACAAAATTATAGGGTGAAAACTACAAGCAAAGTTCAACGAAATAAATAACTTCAATAGTGATTTAAATGTCGACAAAAGCTAACTCGTTCTTCATTGAAAGCTCTGAGGACATTTCAAGCGGGAAATGAACATAAACATAAATTAAACAAAGAGAAAAACAAAATGAAGTACCTTTCATCAGACTACAACCAAAAGCAACCCCATTACGACATTATGTTAGTTCTTATCTCAACAGCAAAATGTACTGTTTCCATTCCGTCAGCATTAGAAAGAAAACAGGACAGGGAAAGAAGAAGAGAATCTCCAGTTCAGATTATAATATTCCAACACATGAAAAAAAAAGATTGGCAATGGACACGAACATTACGTGCGAAACGACAATGCGGGTACAAGAACAGAGAAAAAGAAAAGAACCTGAGCAAATGAAAAACAAGGAAAATGTTGGAAAGTGACAAAGAAGAATCCCTTGAATGTAGCGCAGAAAAGGGGTTGTTGAAACAATAATAAAGGTAATAATGGTGGTGATGGGGGGAGACGAGGACAATAGAAGAAGAGAAAGAGAGGAAAATGGCAAAGTAGTAAAAAGCAGTAAATGAGAGGGGGTGTTAGAAAGGACATGGTGAAGGCTGAACAAGTGTCAAGTGATTGCTCTGACGAGTGAACAGAGGAGAGAGAGAGAGAGAGAGAGAGAGAGAGAGAGAGAGAGAGAGAGAGAGAAGGAAGAAGGGATCAAGGAGGGAACTTTTGGGTTTGGGAAGGTTGTTTTGTTCCCTTTATGGCAGAAGCAGGTGGTGTGACAGAGCAATGTGATGATGAATCAGTGTTCACAGAAAGTGGGGATGGCATTGCATAGTTATGGGGTGTTTTGTAATTTGAGTTGAACAGAAGAGAGAGTTCGGTTAATTTAGTTGAAGGGAAAAAGCGTAACCGTGTGTGTGTTTCGATTTTACTTTGAGGAATCTCATTATTGTTTGTACAAAAAAGGTGGCCATACACAAGAATTCACCGAAAACTATGGAGCTCTTAGATTTTCGACAAAAATATACGGACAAACCACCAAGAGAGAAATAGAATGCCACCAGCCATATCCATGAAACCAATTTATGATTAATGTACATTATTATTAACTGATCATATTATTAAACATTTTATATTATTTACCAATTGAGATAAATATAGTTTAAATGTTTTTTTAGATGTTTTTCAGATATAAAACTTTAAACTCCACGATCGAACAATTCTAACAATATTATTTCAGTGAACTAGAGATCAAAATATTAACATTTAAATGAACATAAATAGAAAAACGATACATATTATGATAAAAATAAATAAGATAAAAAAATGTTTAAATTTCGTAGAGAGAAAAAAGTTTATGTATGAATAGAATTACAGTAGACAATAAATAACTAGTTAATCTCATAACATTAAATTAATTATTCTTTCAATTTCTTTTTCTTAACCAAATATATTAATTTTTTTTTTAGTTTTCACACTCTTCCATTTTTATTATGTTTTTCTTTTATAGAAAAATAGATAATAGGCTCGTATGAAATGAATATTTATTATAATACTAAAATGAAAAGATAAATGTAAAATTGAAAATCTTTAAAAACCATAAAAAGTTAAATCAGTAAATCTTATGACTATTATATAACTATTATAAATTTATACTTACAAATAAAAATTATGATTGAAAATTTTTAAATCGAAAACGATTTTAATTTAAAATTTCATCTTTATTTTCTGATAAATTTTAATGGTTAATCTTCTGTGACATTTTAAACAGTAATATATTATTATTTTTCATTTTTGTGTTTACTATTATTTATTTAATATATATTTACAAAATTGATTTGTATTTTGGAAATCGTTACCCAAAACTTCCTTATTTATATGTTAAGATTTTGATTGTTTTTCAAAATTTAGATTTTAAGAAGTGTGTTACATTTGACATTTTTTTTTTGTCCTTTTTTTAATTATTTGGTGGCGACGATAAATTCTAATATAAACATATTTTAATGTCATTTTCCATTTTTTATTATAAAATAGTTATTAGTATCAATATTTTATTGACGTTTTGTTTTTTATATTTCTTAATTTATTTATTTAATATATATTTATAAAACTAACCTTATTCATGGGAATTATTCACCCAAACTTCCTTTCTTTTATATAATAAGACTTAACGTGTATCCGAGATTAATTATATTTTTAAGTATTTGTTGAAACTCATTAAAATAAATAAAAAAGTTTATATTTGTTATTTTTGTTTTTAGAAAAAAAAATAATTATAGTAGAGTATTTATGGGTGCTCTAACCCTTTTATAAAATAGACATGATAGTCCTCCACATAAAAAAAATGCCGAACATCTAAAAATATGAATCACCAAAAAAAA